AACGCGGACAAGCACGGGTTGCAAATTGTCGGAAACTGACGAAAATCAGGCAGATCTGCGGGAGTTTACGGGGGTTTACGGGGACGAAAATCTCACTTTTCATGCAGTGAGACTGAACAAAGAGAGAACTAACGAGCAGATTGGGAGCAGGTGTGAAGAGAGCAGTCTAAGGAGCTAGGGAAAAATAAGACCAACACAAGAGGGCAACAGAGGGAAACTAATAAAAACCTTAAAACTCAAATATATCCATAAAATACAACAAAATAGGAATTAAACCAATCAAACTAAAAAACATGGAGCAAAGTAAAACATAGCAGAATCAAGACCGTGACATTTGTACATCCAAACAGGACCTGCAGAAATGTCTATCTATATTCTCAGATAAAAAGTAATATCAGGGGAAGTGCTTGCCATTTGTGGGCCCAGAGCACACATAATTTGTAGGGCCTCCCTATCTAAAAATGAAAAATACTACTTTATTTTGTCAGTTGATTTCTGTTTATTTCCAAAAAAAACTTTGAAATATGAACGTTTTGAAAACATATAAAATAAAAAAGAGGAGAAATTAAAATCTTGATATTTTTTTTTCTTTTAATCGTAATATACATATCATACATGTATTCTTCTAAACAGGAAAAAGGTCTTCCAACCATTGAGAATTTTATAATGATGTTATAATTCAATTTGGGGTTCAATTCTGCTTCAGGATTTTTTTTAAGTGTGGCCAGAACTTTCTAATAGCAAAGTTCTAAAAACTCCATTACTGACAAGCAGCAACATTTCCAAGGGCAATGGTCACACACAGACCTTAAATAGTTTGATGGAAGTTAGTTGCTAATGCTAGCATTACTATAAAAGTTTATAACAGAGCATGGCATTAAAATTCCATTAAATTATAAACAAAATGTTAACACCTTAACACACTATAATATTAAGTAAATCCTCTCAATCAGTAAGTCTAATTGTAATGTGTACCTTGTGAAATAATTACCAAGAGCTTACGCTCTGTCACAGATCTGCCTGTATTTTAAATAAGCTGTCAAGCACTTCCACCAGACTACTGAATGCACTACCAACCTACCTACCATAGTATTTTGTTAGCAGAACTCTCATACCAAACAACTCTGTGTGGCTAAAATGGCAGCTGACAGGTACTTCTTGGGGAGGAAAGGCATTCAAAGGTATTCAAATTAATACGTTTTGTCACCAGATAGACAGCTTCCAGGACAATTTTAAATAATGTTCAAGTGCTGGTTTCTCCTCAAAGTATTCTGAAGAGCATCAACAGCATCAAGAGCATCAACAGTCAAATGTTCATCTTCCTCATTTTCCCCAACATTCGACCCATTCCAATTTGCCTAATGACAGAACCACTCCAATGAAGACACCATCTCCTCCACTCAAATGAGCCTTGCACACCTGGAGAAGAAGAACACCCATGTGCAGATGCTGTTCCTGGACATCAGTTCAGCTGTAGAAACTTAATGAAATCTGATAGGAAAACCGGAACAGCTGGGCTTCAATACACCCCTTTGCAATTAGCTGTTAGACACCCTCACAAACAAACCTCAGTCAGTACGGATTGAACAGAGCACCTCTGATGTCATCACCCTAAGCACAGGCTCCCCTCAGGGCTGTGTCCAGAGCTCCCTGCTGTTCTCCCTGATGACACACGACTGCGTCCCCAGATTCACCACCAATCACATCGTGAAGTTTGCAGACGACACAACGGTGGTGGGCCTTATCAGAGACGACAACAACCAGATCTACAGATAGGAGGTGGAGCAGCTGGTGGGCTGGTGCAGAGATAACAGCCTGATGCTGAACGTGGAGAAGACTAAGGAGATCATTGCCGACCTCAGGAAGAACCGGCCTAACCACCCTCCACTGCTTATCAACAGCTCAGCTGTAGAGGTGATCAGCAGCACCAAATTCTCGGTGGTGCACATAACAGACATCCTCACCTGGACTGTTAACACCACCTAATTGCAACAGCTTTTTACCCACTGCCATCAGAGTGCTTAACTGTTGAAAAAAAACTCTAAATGATGTCACTAATCAAGACTCTGTATCACACTAACACCAAACCAAAAAAACTTAACTCAACAAAAGGTTTTTCTACTGCTTTTCTGCACCATATAGGTTTTTCCTTGCACTGCTCTGAACTTCCATATCAATCTGTTTTACACCATGTTTTCTCTGACGTTGTTTACATTCGATCACTGCTGAACTTTATAGAACGGAAATGTTAATTTCACTGCTAGGCTGTTGCTAAGTTACTGTCTGAAAGCTGTACAAAACAAAATGACAATAAAAGTTGTCTAAGTGTATAAGTCTAAGAATTTTGTGATTGAACTGGCTAACACCAGACATGGTTGAATGTAGTTAGCTAAATCTTTTTCTGAAAGGTACTGGATTTATGTTCCTACACTAGCCCTAAAGAAATTCACCTTTTTAATTCAGCCCTTGGTTAGTGAAACAGCCTGGAATCTTCTTGAAATCTTCTTTTCCATCTGTGTTAGGTCTTCCTCCTCAATCTTCAAAACCAATGACCAAGTTTAAAACTAAAGCAAATTACTATGGAACTTTTGCTTGAGCTTTCTGACATCACAGGAAATGGAAAACTTCTTCTTTCTTGCTGCTGGATCCAGCGGTGTTCTATCAAACCCCCACCCCCACCCCATCCCCCATGAGATGAAGAACTAAGACTCAGTGATACTAATCTTACTCATCAACCCACTGCCTCTTTCTCCTTTAACAAATCCAGCATTGGGAAGTTTCATCAGGCTGTGTTGACTTTCTTTCAATCAGAACATTTAGTTCACTGCTGAGATCCGATACAAGCACATGTGCTTGTGCAGACACAGTGTGACAAGTCCTGACCCTTCTATGACAACTTGCTGTTTCAGCATCACATGCACCCCTACCTGTGAGAGATGCCTGGGCAACTGGTCTTTCCCTCCCGTCCAATAAAAGGATGCACCTCTTCACCACCAACTTCAAAGGCTTGGTGTTACTATTCCTGTTATGCACAAAGCCACCTCCTTTTTCTGGGCAGAGTGCGTCTTACTTTACATTGCTTTTCGTCATTACATTTCACAATAGATACCATTTTATTATACTTTTAAAATATCAAGGCAGGGACGAGAGAAGTGTTTCAGTTGACAGAGGCCATAAAAGGTGCATAGAAAAAAAATACCCAAAAGTTAAAGATAGATGCCCATACATGAAAAAACTGCCAAACAAAAGCTTCAAGCCTTGGCCAGCTATCTAAAGAGGTACATGAGAGATAATGAAGCCAGATTGGTAAACAGGCTGTTCGCGACTCAACCAGCGAAGTGTACGCTAAATGGTAGGGGAGCAATATTAGAACAGACCCACCAGAGCTGGAAACTGAATAGTGCTGGAAAGGCGTATGGAGGAGGGAGGCAGCACACAATAGTGATGCTCAGTGGTTGGTGGCTCTGAGAGAGGACCACTGCAACCTCCCTGGATAGAATCCAGTGACCATCACAGTGGCAGACATCCAAGAAAGAATCTTAGGTATGACAAACTAGACAGCACCAGGCCCTGACATGAAACATGCCTACTAATGGCTGCACAGAAACAGGTCCTGAGCACCAGAGCAATAGAGGCCCAGATCTACCACACCAGACAAGACCCCAGGTGAGGACTGTGCAAAGTGGCCCTGAAACAATCCAGCACTTAACTGCAGGGTGTAAGTTACTGGCAGGAAAAGCTTTCATGGAGTGCCATAACCAGGTGGCTGGAATAGTGTACAGAACATCTGTGCGGAGTATGGGCTGGAAACCCCTCCAAAGATGGCCGAGAATGACCAAGTCAAGATCCTGTGAGATCTTGACTTGGTCATTGCCATTCGGTCCGTCTGTATCTGACTGAATGGTAATGGCGACCCAACTGGACGTTGCGGTGGAGCAGAGAAAAACCGTTGTGGTAGACATAGCAACACCAACATACTGCAACATAAGGAAAAATGAACATGAGAAACTAGAGAAATACCAGGGGCTCAGAGAAGAGCTGGAGAAGACCTGGAAGGTCATAGCATTAGTGGTGCCCCTGGTCATTGGGGCACTCGGGGCAGTGATCCCCAAATTGAAGAGTGGCTTCAGCAGATCCCTGGAAAAAACATCAGACATTCTGTTCCAGAAAAGTAAAGTTCTAGGAACAGCAAAGATACTTCGCAGAACCCTCAAGCTCCCAGGCCTCTGGTAGAGGACCCGAGGTTGGAGAAAAAAAAAGAGAGACTGCCCGCAATGGGTGAGGAAGGGTTTTATATACATTGTGTCGATACATATGTAGGTTATATTGGTCAAAATAAAAAAAATAAAAAATTTGAGTCTAATAAACAAATATAGGCCAATAAACTTTGTTATATAGTATGTACAAGAATGTAGATCTACTTTCACACCTGTCCTTACCTCTATTGGATTTTATCTCCTTTTCATCCAGTTGGATGGTTTCTTCCTCTTTCCCAAGGAGCTGAAACACACATTTGTATCTCCTCCAGTCTTCAAGACTGATTGAGGATACATTCAAGTAAACCCTCATCTGGAAGGTCTCATCATTGTTTGGAAGGATCCCTCCGTGTTCCACTTCTTCATGGATCTCTTCCCCATCTTTCCTCCAAAACATCAGGGCTGTTTTAGGATAGAAACCTGTAGCGTGGCAGCTCACTGGACTTGAGGAAGTCTTCTGAAGCAGAGACAAAGTGGGATGCTCTGGGGAAGGTCAAAAGAAAACATGAGAGAAAACAAGAGGATAAATGATTGATTACGAACTTAACACAAACAACAACAAATAAGTGACGTCAAAAAACATTGGGGACAATGGCGATGACAGGTAAAAAAACCCAAAAGAAATACTACTTAATGCAATTTAGTTTGTTATGTAGCGCTAGTTCACAGCACATGTCATTTCAAGGCACTGTACAGAAACAATAAATTCAGAATTGTTAAAGGTTTCTGTCAAGGAAAACCAGTCGAAGACATGGAGTTGTTGACTTCTAAGGCATGCACCCCTTGGATGAGGTTGCAATGTAGCAACGATATTCGTTTGTATTTTGTCGCTGTCTGTTCAGAAATCCTTCACACCATGCATGAATGCAGCAACAGAGTAATGACCAGAAAACGAAATATGCCTGAATTCAGCCAGAGAGAACACTAAACCTTTGAAAAGTTTATTAAAATGTGAAACTCCTGCAGGCCGGGAGGGATTCACCAAAGTCAGCAACTGGAACTTCTGGAAGGAGATTGCACAGTTGAGTGACCAGACAGAAACAGAGGGAAATGCTTCCAACGTTGAATTCTTGTTTACTAATGGTCTCGGAGTTTTGGGACAAACTTTGAGAATTTCAGAAGAACCCGGTGCCAGAATGTGACGTCATACAGTAGGTGATCCCCAGAGGATGCTTGAATTTTTCCAGGTTTGGAGGTTTGGAGGAATCCTTCCTTAACATTCATACTCATTGGTCCAGGAGAAAACACAGGGTCACATCCTTGAGAGAAGATACAGGCAGAATGATCAAGGGGGCATACCAGAGTATGGAATCCAAGAGCTGGTCCAGAGTCAGAGCCATGTCATACGAAATCCAGACACAATCCAGTGGGGAATCCAAGAGTGTGGTCAAAAGCATAACCAATTGAATTGAGAACCAGAGACAATCCAGGAAAGAATCCGGGAGCAAGGTCAGGGCACAGAAAACAGGTCAGAGATCCAATAAAAAAGACTATGAAATGTCGGATAAAGTTTTACTACGGTAACAGACACAAAGGTTGAGTGACCTCTATTTGTGAAATGGAAAACTCTGAGTTTCCGTGATTTCATTGTTAAAAAGCTTTCATTAAACCTTCTTTGTTAAACAGGCCTCGGGTTTTTAAATATACAGAAATTTAAACTTCTCCATTAAGTGTGTTTTTTCCATTCGTATTATAATGCTACCATATTGGTCCAAATATAAGACAAGGTTAGTTTTGTTAAAATCTATATGAAAACCTGGGGTCGTCTTATAATCAGGGTCTGACCAATTATATACTGTGGCTCGGGTCGTCTTTCTATCACAACAGAGAAGAAGTGACAAGTATGCTACAAATTGAGAGTTACTGCACAGAACAGAGTGGATCAAAAGTCAGACAAGTTTTCTGACAGTTGATGTGGAGTTATGATCCCACTTTTAAAATAATGGTTATCAACGCAGCAGAGGCATCAAACAACTGTCAGACAAGCATTTAAAAAGACCAGTAAAATGCGAACAGCAGAAGCAAAGCTTATGAAAAAATGCAAAGCTGCAGGGTGAACATGGGAGTGACAGCGAGGCAGAGGAAATCTGTGAGTACAGGCCTCATGCTGCCTTTTCAGACATTCTCTGAGCAAAAGATTGCAAGATGAAATGAAATGAAATGAATGAAATGTGTCATTACTGTTTTTTTTAAACGTTTTATTGTTTAAATGTACAAATCTTTCAATGCAATATTATTCTAGTGAAAATTGTAGAACTTAAATATAGAATATTTTCTTTTTGTTTTGTTCCTAGAAACTGGTCCTGGAAAGAGGTGGTCATCTTATAATCAGGGTTGTCCTGTGTTTGGGTAAGTACAGTATAAGGTATAAATTATGGTTTATTTAATCACCCTCAAATGCCAAAATTATAGATTCAGAGAATAAAATAAGTGACAGTGTGGTTGTCTCACTGTGCCTCCGATTGATGAGGCGTCCTGCAGTTGCGGTTAGTGGAGTTTTCTCTAGGGAAGGCTATAGATTCAAAACAGAGGTATACCAAAAACTAATCAAATGTATACTAAGTTATCACACCAGTATATTTATATAAATGCCAACAACAAAAAAACATTATAAAAACACTTTATAAAAACAAAAGCATAATTTCAATTCAAGTTTACTTTTTGTGCTATATACATTTGCCCTTCTGAGGCTTTGTGAAGGCAAATCTGTGTTTTGCATGATCCAATATTATGTCACAAACCCAAAAAAATAATGGACCCATTTAATAACAGAGAAGCTATAAGTCAGCTTTATTTTTGTAATATATAAAAACTACTCATTTTCTTAGAATGTATCTATTTAAGAGCAATTTTGCAAATTAACAAACACCTTCAAAAAGTACACTATATTATATTATTTTATATGTGAATCCCTGATTGTTCATTTTTCTTTGCCTTTTCTAAAAAGTGCTTTAAATCAGTCCTACTGTACCTGTCTTAATCCATGCTGGTTCAGATCCTGATTTTTGAAAAAGGAGGCAGGCAGTCAAGGCAGCAGAATAAAGCTTTAGCCTCGCTGCATGCAGTTAGTCAGGCGTGGTAGCTAAACCAACCGTCTCCATCTGTCTTTGGACTGCTGATTTTGATGTTTGGCTGTACAAAACCTCCAGTTTCTCTTTGTAAGTTTGTTTTAAGGGACTTAAATTCCAGGACTCGATCTGTCAATCAGCCACACTACGACTGTTAAGACAGTTCCTGTCAGCTCCGGGGAGCTCAGGACGCAGGTCTCCTGCGCCTTAAGCTTTCCTATCCTTTAGCATCGCAAAGGAGCTACTGTGCATGTAATTCAATTTTCACTTCAATTCAATTAATTTATATAGCGCCAATTCACAACACATGTCATCTCAAGGCACTTTACAGTTCACCAGATCATACAGTCAATTGATTCAAAGTTTCCTATCTACTGTAAGTAAAACCAGTTGATTGCATCGACTCATTGACTCGAAGGCAATCCTTCACACTAAGCATGCTTTTAGCGACAGTGGAGAGGAAAAACTCCCTTTTACAGAAAAAAACCTCCAGCAGAACCAGAGCCAACTCCCATGTCAGAGGATGAAGAGAGCACATCCATCCCAGGGCTCGATGTTAACCATTGCCCGATCGCCCAGCTCTTTCGCCCAGTAGTCTAATCAAACAAATCAAATCCCTCCCAGGCCCTTCTTGTGTACCTTGTCACAAATAGGATCCAAATAGGATCCATTTTGTGAGGATAAGAAAATCATATTCAACACTGCCCAAGCCAAAGAATATTTGCCGTATGTTTTCCCATCTCCTTTATCCTATTTTCTGTTTTCAAAATTTTTAACAATAACAACAACAAAAAAGGCCAGTAGAGCCTTTAAACAATTGTTATGAAAAAAAAAAAAGAAGCTCAAAGGCTGGAAGTATACTTGGTAGCCAGTAACTGAGTTTGATAACAAAAATGTCTGAATTTGCAACAAAATGTCTGTAATTTGGTTGATGTTGTATTTATTAATGTGAACCACTTCTGTGTTAAAGAAATGTAGATCTACCCAACAGGTACACGTTCCTAACATTTTACAAGATCTTGAGACTGATATCTTGCATATAAAATAAAGGACAATAAATCCAATGTTAGTTTGGTTTAAGGTAACATTACATTGGATTGTTGAAGATACATTTCTTTTTAATTCATTTTTTTCTGTTACTGCTCTTATTGTAATACTGTGTGTATCGCAATAAGTAATCCAAAAGGAGATTCAAATATTTGACCTATGATGACCTGAGAGGTCCGGCCATCACTTTATTTGGCAATGCTTTGTTATTGGGAAGAAGGCAGGATACTTCAGCTTGTGGCATTTTGGGATAAACTGGAAAACATTAGTAGATCTGGGCAATTTTGCTGTTCCCACAGCTATGATCAAGAAGGCATGGCTGAGAAAAAAGAATTTCACAACTTCCTCTGTAGTTTGTGCTTATATAAATGCTTATATAAATGAACATACCTTGCACAAATTATGTTGATACTGAAAGACATTTCCCTCCTTTTTGCCACTTTCTAAGAAACATTCCCTCTTGAATAAAAAGCAGAGAGATCCAGATCGGATAATGTAATGTACATACCTGTTCTCAGCAGAATGCTCTTCCCTCCATTTAATAAACTCTCAATCCATCCAGGGCACTCTTGGGTAAGAATGTTTTTGTTCCACAAAATTCTGGCTTTGTTAGTGTCCCACAGTCTTTTAAATGGAATTGCTTGTGGCGTTAGAGCGATCCATATCTGAGTCTCCAAATCCAGTGCAATAAAGCCTTCTCCATCATAACCATACACTAAAACAGTATTAACTTTCTGAGTCTCCTCATCCTTCTCACACGAATAGAGCAACTGAAAGGTATGGATACCTGAGAAAGAAATTCAACAGGGAACAGTGCTGTTATTAACGATAATAATTTTTACAAGAACCCCACAGGATTATTATTATTACTTCCATAAATGAATACATTATTGTGCTTAAATGTAATCAAATGTAT